CAGTGTGGTTTTTCCTAAGCAACTGTGGAATTCCATGATTCCCTTTAGCTCTCCAGGCCACTGGAAGGCTACACCAGGAGGTCTGAGCAGCGAGTGATTGCTTGCTTGCCCTGTGAGCTCTGAGTGGCTAGACATGGAAGCTGTCTTCCGGGCTGGTGACCCGGAGCTTGTGGTTTCTTCTCCACATAAAAACAACACTTCCTTTTTAACAAGGAGCTTCTGGAAGTTTCGCTATGCACAAGGATCCTCTGTGTGTGTGTGTGTGTGTGTGTGTGTGTGTGTGTGTGTGTGTGTGTGTGTGTGTGTGTGTACTCACACACACTTGGATATAGAGGGGGGAGACCGTGAAGAAGGAATGATCAGAGCAGCTCCCACTGCTTCTGAGAAAGGGGTCAAAGGATCTTGTCTTTGTTGGTTGGTTTAAGTCCCTGGGCCTGGGCTCCTCCACAGAACTGGAAATTGGACTCAAAGAGTGTGCTCTGTCCCTGACTCACTCCCACAGTCTGAACCGAGCTGAAACAAGTCACTGGAAGATCTTGGGCTTCCTGTTACGCAGAGAGAGAACCGGGGTGCCCTGAGTTTACAGTCTGTGTCCAGCATAGGTTCAGAACAACTAAGAGATGGAGAGTCGGGCTGCAGCTAGGGTTTCATACAATCACTGTTTTCATACAGCAAGGCTTCCTAAAGATGCTTTTATTTACAATTTATGTGAAATCAAGAACATTAGTCACCAAGGTGAGTGTTATGGTTGCTATGGGAATTGTAGAGTTGACTGGGTACATGTCAACACCTTCCCAGGACACAGCCTATATCCAGAAAAGAGAAGAGAAATTAAAGTCTCTGGACTGGAGATAGAGTACTTGCCTACTATGCATGAGTCCCTGGGTTCAATTCTGGTACCATTGCAGCCTCCGGCAACCAAACCAAACACACTTACAGAAAAAGAACAGAAAGCAGAAAAGAAAGAGACATTAAAGAAAGATACTTATGAGATGGTACCCAGGCCTCTGTGAAGACTCACGGCCCTGAGAGAAATGCCGTGTGAGAAGAAACCAGGCAGTTCCTGCCAGGGCGTCATACTTTACAAGAGCTTTCATAGAGATGACAGGGCAAGCAAAGAAAGAACTTTCTTAAGTAAATATCAAATCAATTAAAGGAACAAATCCATGGAAATAAATCATTTACAGAAACAGGTCCTACCTGTGGATTCTTACACGAAACACACTAAATGCTAGACCTCAAGAAAGCCCGTGTAAACAGATTCTAAAATGACTCCTCACACACAGTAAGAAGTAACGTGTTCAAACAAACTCTGCAAAACAAAGGTTTTCAAGATATAAAAATTCATAAGCCTTTCTTATCAGAAAGAAGGCGAAGGAATATTATGGTATTTTTACAGCGTGTTTGCTTTAGCGTTTGTCATGGGGTTATCCTGTGCAAAGGGAAGGTTTGGAATGCAGTGTAATTACTTTCCCACCTACTTCTGTCACAAGGTCTACTTAAAGGGCAATTTCTTTTCTTTAGTTCTTTAAATGCTTCCAAAAAAGATATCTTAAGGTCAAGAAACTCCAACAATGTGCAAATATCTTTCAGGAGTAGTCCATTTCCCCCTGGTACCATGGGGGGGGGTACTGTAGTCAGTGGGGATCCAGTTTGTGGAGGGTCATGTTTCTGTTACCCTGGGACAGTTTTAGTAATCAGAACCAGGAACAGAACCAGGCAGAAGCAGTTATAGGGTGTAGGGCTCTCAATCAAGCAGTCTTCACTTGGATTTTGCAGGGTGTCAAAATGCCATTTCACACAAATTTTGAAACATCCATGTGTGATACACACACACACACACACACACACACACACACCTCAAGTTTTTGAGGCTTTGTAATATTGACAAACTTCTATTATAGGATTCAAATAATCCATGGTGTATGTTATGAGATTTTTTTGTGTTTTCTGCAAATCAGTATCAGTCATTTTGATATGGCATTGTATGGTATCTTTTTCCTTCAAATGTCTTTTCACTAGCAAATCTAGTAAACAAATTAATACTCCTGTCTTCAAACAAATTAGGAAATCCCCCTGTGATGTCTGGTCTCAAACAGGTACATTCACAAATAACTTAGCTGGTACCAGATACTGGAGGGTGAGATAGAACAGAGCAGACAGGCCCTCAAAATCAGATGGCAAAGAGGGTCTCTTTGTACTGATGGAACAGTCCTAGATCCTTGCTGTGGTGGAATTAAAATAGGACACTACAACAAATCTACTTTGGAACACCTCAATTGATTTTACAGCATGCCAAGCCATTTGTACTGGGTGATGCCTGCTAGTCGCCTTACAAGGACAAGGGCCAGTGGCTGGCTGTGAATGAATGAGGCTTGGCTGGTATGATTGGCTGTCTAAGCTAACTGATGTAGTCTGTTTACAATTCACTGTATACGGAAATAGCTTCAGGACAAACTTAAAGTGTATGCAGAGGCAGCTTGAGGAAACACTGTGGTCTACTTAGCAGTGTTTCCATAGATCCTCTCATGGAACCAAAGTTCCTAGAACTACTATCCGTACAGGCACACATGTATTTAACTGATAAAATGATAAAATAAAGTTCTGTAACAGCCTGGTATTTTATCAGTATTAATTTCCTGGGTTTGATGATATTAGATAATAATGTAAAAGTGTTATTCTTTGGGGAATATAGGGGTGAATACAAAGTCCATGGAACTCTTTCTACTGTTATACTTTTTTTTTTTTTTTTTTGGTTTTTTTCGAGACAGGGTTTCTCTGTGGATTTGGAGGCTGTCCTGGAACTCGCTTGGTAGTCCAGGCTGGTCTTGAACTCACAGAGATCCGCCTGTCTCTGCCTCCCGAGTGCTGGGATTAAAGGCATGCACCACCAAGGCCCGGCCTACTGTTGTACTTCTTATGACCCTAAGCTTTCCCCTTTTTTCAAAACACGGTCTAACTATGTCATCCAGGCTAACCTCCAACTCATGACCCACCTGCCTCAAACTGCTTAGTTGTTGATTACAAGTGTACACTGCCACCATTTGCTATGAAATTATTTCAAAACAAAATATTTAATTAATGGAATACCAGCCTTCATTTTCATGGGGCTTGCATTCTACTCCAGTGGGAGAGATAAATTCACTGACAAAATCATCACAGATTGTTTTATGCATTTCAAGAACTACTTTGTTTGGTTGGTTGATGGATTAGTTCCCCCTTTTTTTTTTTTTTTTTTTGAGAGACAGGAACTCACTCTGTAGAGCAGGCTGGCCTCAAACCCAGAGAACTGCTTCCATCTGCCTCCCAAGTGCTGGGATCAAAGGTATGTGGCACCACCTCCCCAAACAGTTGGTTAATTTTTTCAATAAAAAGGACTCTATTGTGCCTCATTAAATGCTAAAATGTAAAAAAGTGGCATAGTCATATTAATAGCAAAGCAAAGATTAGAACAAGAAATATCACAAGACATAAAAATGGCACACTACAGGATAAGGAAGACTTTCAGTACTAAAGACACATTTCTAAAATGTGTCTGTACCAACAACAGAGCTTCAAGTTGCATTAGCAAACAACTGACAGAAATGGAAATGAGAAATTGCCAAATCAACAGTTTGAGTTACAGGCCCATACCTCCCTTTCAGTAACCGACAGAATAGAATCAGAGCCCTGTCACCACAGAAATCAATAGATCAAATGAGTATTAGAAAACATGAGAAAGCACCTCAGACAACTTAGCCCAATTACTCTTGTCATGTAGATGAATTTGTATATTATACTCTGAGCACACAGAACACTGTCTCTTCAAGTACACAGGAAACAGTCAACAAGTCAACACACAGTCAGGGTAAACAGAACAAATCTGAATGTTTTTTCCCCAGCTAGGAACCAAACCCAGGACCTTCTACCACTGAGTAACTGATTAATTTTTATTCTGCCTTATTTGTTTTGTTTTTGTGCTTGTCTATATGTTTCTGGTGTTTTGTTGTTGTTATTGTTGTTGTTGGTTTGTTTCCTTTTGAGGATTATTTGCTTTCTAGACAGGGTTTCTCTGTGTAACAGTTCTGGCTGTCTTGGAACTTGCTTTGTAGACCAGGCTGGCCTCGAACTCACAGAAATCTGCCTGCCTCTGCCTCCCAAGAGCTGGGATTAAAGGCGTGCATCACCAACACCTGGCTAAGTAAAACTTTTATTAAAAAAGATAATAATAAGGATTATTTTGGAAGAGGAAAGGAGGGACAAGAAAGGGTAATGGGTGGGACTGGGGCTGCATTTCAGTTGGAAGAGAGCTCACCCAGCAGACAGAAAGCCTTGGGTCCCATCTCTAGCATGCATAAAACCAGCCATGATGGTTCAAGAAGTAGAAGCAAGAGAATCAGAAATTCAAGGTCATAGTCAGCTACATAACAAGTACAAAGCCAACCTGGGCTACATGCATACTAAAAAAAAAAAACATAGAAACGAAAGGAGTACAATGAATATGATCAAAGTACATTATACACATGTGCAGACCTGGAGTAATAAACTCACAGTTGAATGCTATTGACTTATATTAACAAAAAAGGAACAGACATGTTTCATTTAAGGTTGTTAAAATTTGCTTTGCATCAGGCAGTCTTGGTGGCTCAGGCCTGTAATCTCAGACACTTGGATGACTGAGCAGCAAGGTTGCAAACAAAAGACCTACACAGTACATTGAGAATACTAGGGACATAACCTGGTGGTTGTGGAACTTGTTGGTTACATGCAAGGCCTTGGATTCAATCCCCAGCACTAAAAGCAAACATTGCATATACATATGTCTCTGTATACATATACATATATATATACAATTATGATAAGTGGAGTAAAGATCAACAACTAAAAGTTTTAACAACCAGGATTTGATACCAAATAACTTAAATACATAGATTATAAATTCAATTTTCATATGTTGAAACCAATTTCCACATATTTGAACTTAATTCTGAATAATCTCTCTCTGTATAAAGGTCACTCTCATACTTACCAGGCTGGGGCGATGCCATGAACATGAAGATGTTTTCCCAGGACAAAGCTTATCCATTGCACTCAGGATGTGCCGACCCCTGCGATTTCCCCAAACTCGAGGAAACTCCACCGACGGCATGATCAGTGGTAGTGGGCAACTACATTCACTCTCTTAAGGGAAGTAAGTCACTCTCAAGGAAAAAGACAAAGGCCAAAGATGGCTGAGCAGGGAAATGCCCTTTACCGTCAAATGGGACAACCCCAAACCCCAAAGGAGAGTAACTATCACAAGCTGTTCTCTAACTTCCACACGTTCTCCGTGGTATGCACTCTCCATACACACGCTCACATATAAAATAATAATAAAGAAACATAATAGAAAATATATAACAGAAAGGAAACCACCTGATATTGACAGCTTTGGCACTGAGTAACCAAAAGGGACTGGAGTAAGTAACAGTCCTTATGTATCTTGGAGGGAAAACCATGGTTAGTGGAACCCATCAGAACAAAGAAACCAACTTTTGCCCATTTATCTAAGGGAGTGGCTTATCTTTGAGGTTATCTGTGGAAATATATGCCAAATTTGGGGTGTTTCCCATAAAAATAAGCCAGAAAAAAATCAATTCCCCCTACTAGGAGCACATTAAAATCTTCACAATCTCTCCCAAACAATTGCTGTACTTCATTGCATGCCATTTACGTGAAAATGTAAATTTCTGGCTGGGCAGTGATGGCACACCATTCCAATCCCAGCACTCGGGAGGCAGAGACAGGCGGATCTCTGTGAATTCAAGGCCAACCTGGTCTACAGAGAGAGCGCCAGGACAGACTCCAAAGCTAAACTTCGGTCACATATCTCCTCCCCAATAAACCACATACTCCCCACCACATTAGGGACCATTCATTTTAATAATCAGGACTTTTAATTTTTTCATTGAACTGCTTGGGAAATTAATACATCTTGTCAATCCTTTCTGTCATATGTTTCATCGACCTGAGATTAACTCTAAGACTTTTTTTCCAGACAGGCTCTTCACAAACACAAACAGTAACCTAATTGGCTCCATGCCTTGGCTTCCTAGACTTCTCCAGTCCTATGAGGATCTCTGACCTGCTTGTCAGTTGTTTATACTGGCCTTGACCTGGCACTCACAGCCGCAGGGCACAATTTCTGGCATTTCCCACAGACTCCACCCACCTCGACTGCACACCAAGTCTGTCAAGGAAGAGCGTTAGACTCAAAGCCCAGAAGACTATTTGGAAACAATTCTGGCCTACTTGGCATTCAGACTTCAAAGACTACCCAATAACCATCTAACATTTTCTGAACTTTGTGTTCAAGGTCCTCTACTGAAAATGAGGAGTTGTAACAAAAATAGATGAGATTCCTACAGTTATGGAGGGAAGGAATGGTCAAAGCGGTCTTAAAGAGAGCTCGTCTGTGATATACCACAGGGATCACACAGAACCAGATCCTGGAGAGAGGGGATAGGAGCGAAGACTCCTCCCTGACTGTGGAGTCAATGTGAAATGTCAGTAACTAGATCAACCTGACTCCATGACTGCTCCAATGTCACGGGAAAAAGTACTATTCAAAGACTTGGAGGGTGGGGCTGAAAAGTTGGCTAAGAGGTTAAAAGTACTTGTTGATCTTGCAGAGGACCTGGGTTCAGTTCCCAGCACCCACATGGTCACAACCATCTGCAACTCCACTGCTAGATCCAACACCCTCTTCTGACTTCCCTGGGCACCAAGCACATTGGGCACAAGCGTGTCATACACAGCCATGCAAGCAAAACACTCATACACAAAAAATAAATAAATCTTTAAAAGAAGACTTGGAGAATAATACCTCACCATGCCATCTCCTGGGGCTAGGAATACAAGGTGAGGTACTGGTCTTTTGACTGTGTTGGTTGTTTGATCAGCTTGGGCCGTAAAATGTCTGTGATGAGCATGAGATATGAGTCGATGTCTAACTAGATGAAAGAGAACCGCACAGAAAACTGTGAACTAGGTAGAATCGAGAGTCGTCAGCACATGCTCCAAGATAACATGAAGTGAGGTAAGAAAGAAAGATGGCCTTCTAGAGGCTTAGTACCCTGGAGTACCAAGGAAAAAAGGAACAGAAGAGGGGCCAAGAAAAAAAAAACTACCAGAGATCACTAAAATTGAAAAACAACCATTACATTTGTTTTGTTTGTATATGGGGGGTCAGTGTGGCTGGGTGTGGCATGAGAACCATGGTGTGTACGTGGGGAGGTAGAGGACAACTTGAGATACTTAGTTTCCTCCTTTCACTATGGAAGGAGACACTGGGAGTCACGTTCAGTAAGTAGACAGCTATGACTTTACTAAGGAATGTGAAAACATTCCTGGGACCTCTGTTCTATTTGAAGAGTGTTGAACACGTGGCTCAGAAAAGAATGATTAAAAACAATCCTGAAATACAAATGGCACGGCAAAGAGACCCAGCATGACAAGAACTTCTGACAGAAGGGAAGGAAGGAAGAAAGGAACGTAGCCGGTGTGAAACGCCTCGTATGAAGGATGATGGTTCTCCTACAGACTGGCCATGCTTTGCTGCTTTCTACGTGACAATGAAGATGAAGCTGTAGCCCCAGCCCAGATGTCCACTGAAAATGATGCAAAGCAGCAGGAGAAAGGACAGGAAACGGGCTGATGTACCTTCTAAGACAGAACGTTCTCTTTTTGCAGAAACTCAAATAGTCATGACTCACTCTACCTTCCTCCCTGCCTGCCTGCCTGTCTGTCTCTATCTCTCTGGGCACGCGTGTGTGCGAGCGTGCATGCATGCATGCATGCCTGTGTGCGAGTGTGCATGTGTGTGTGCGTGCATGTGTTGCCACCCTGGCTGTCCTGAAACTTGCTACGTACAGCAGACTGATCTCAAGCTCACAGGGACTCGCTTGCTCCATGTTTGGATTAAAAGAAAGGAGCACCACACCTGGCTAATTTACTTTTGCAGTATTTTTTTTAAAGATTATAATATAGTTCTGTCACTCCTCCCTTCCCTTACTTCCTTTCCCACCTTTCCATGTATGTCCCACCTTGCTCTCTTTCAAAGTCTTTTCCTTTAAACGTCGTTACAAATACACATACACACAACCTGCTCAGTCTGTACAATGTTCTTGTATGTGTATGATTATTTCAGAGCTGACTGTTTGGTGCTGGATAACCGATTGGTGTGCTCTTCCCTGGGAAGACTCTCTCTCCCACTCTCAGCATTCCTTGGTGGCAGTAACTCTTTGTCTGGGGTTGAGCCTAATTGAGGGCCCCCTTCCACATTAGCTGGTGTTGACCTTGTTCAGGTCTCATTTAGGCAGCCATGTTGGTGAGATTTCAAGGGGGTAGCTTCTCTGACCTTTCTAGGAGACGGAGCAAACTTGCCACGCCTCTAGTCCTTACTGCCTTCCTTACCTTCCACAATGATCCCCAGGCTGTCGATGTAGAAGCTGTGTTTCTGATGTATCATTTTGGGACTGAGCTCCACTCATCTTCATTTTGATAGGTTGTGGTTTCTGTAATGGTCTCCGTTGCAAAGACGACTTTCATTGATAAGGGCCAGTCATGAAGTTTTAAAAATAAGTTTTATATGAAATAATTGGCTGTGAGGCTTTTAGTTGACTCACCCCTTTTTGCTGCTATTGTTGGCCATGTGACATATTTCCTAGTTACAGCACACCAATGTACCCGACTCATACAGGACCAGGCATAAATTAAATTTTTTAAATACAAAAAGTTCAAAACGGGTGTGGTGGTATGTGCCAGTAATCCCAGTATTTAGGAGACGGGGCAAATGTGAATCTTTATTATTCAAATTCGGGCCAGCCAGGCTTGCAATGTGAATAAAAGCAACAAACAAAGCAAAACAAAAAATTCGCAGAAGAAAGCTATTGTGGTCCTTGAACATTGCTGGCTTCTCTTTCTTTATTTCACATCATCCTATCATCTAAGGTCCCTGGGCTTCCAGGAAAGCAGAACATCCCTGCTGGGTGACTTCAAAGAGGAAGCCAAGATACCGTGCCTTTAATCTCAGCATTCAGGAGGCAGAGGCAGGTGGATCTTTGTGAAGTCAAGGCCAGCTTGGGCTACACAGTGAGACCTTATCTCAAAAAAAAAAAAAAGTGAAGTATTACATGAAGCCAGTTAAATTTTTAACCATCTTTTCAGAATAGCTCTCAGCAATAATCCTTCACCTTCCCTCTGATGGCATCGGAGATGACTTGTTCAGCCCTCTCTGCCAGTCTGAGAAGGAAGCCAGGAAAATCGCAGAAATGGGTTGAATTAGAACCATAGGAAGTCTCATAGCTTGGTCAGATTTGGGTCGAATCCTGCTTCTTCCCAGGCAGAGCTGCCTGGTAGAGAAGATGACTGGGAAAGATGGAGTGGGAATCCATGAGGTGTCTTGAGTGGCTCCTGGAAAGAAGGTGAGGAAAGACCTGAAATACATCCAAAAGGTGACAACAGCAAGACTTTGCAGGAGCCGTTTTCAAAGTTGTAGCTATTGAGGGGGACGGTGTGTCCTCATTGCAGGGGTAGAGCATCCGGTCATCGCTCATTGGCAAAGCTTGACTACTATGTGAAGAGGAATTTAGGCCGCAGCTATAGCAGATTATAACGTAGGTGTTGCTTCTGCAGATGGGAGCTAGTCAGGGGTGGATCTCCAAGTTTCTTGCCATTATCATCTTGTCCCTGGCCCTCAAGTTCACAGAAAATCTCGATTCAACTGTAGTTGGTCATCCTCCAGGATTGGTAGCAAGGGAAACCTCAGCATGTCACCTGCTGACCTCTGCTGACCCAAAGTAGGCAGGATGAGCCGCCAGTAATCCGTTAAAGGAAATAGAAGTGCTTGAAGACACATGGGCAGGAGACCCATTAGAATGGCAATATGGGGAAGCAGAAAGAATTAAAGGAAGACGATAGAAGACTAATTTAAAAAAGCATTGAGTAGGACGCTATTACCTACTTAAGATGCAACAGTGTAGAGCAACTCAGGAACTCAGAGGTTTGGCCTGGGATTCAGCACTTACCTAGCATGAACAAGGTCCTGGTTCAATCTGTAATGCCACCCCCCTCCCCGAGAGAGAGAGAGAGAGAGAGAGAGAGAGAGAGAGAGAGAGAGAGAGAGAGAGAGAGAGAGAGAGAGA